CTCACTTGGCTAAGGCATTCTTGCTCATTTTGAAACTGACATTTCTAAAGGTAGTAGACTATACTATATTCTACATGACCTAATCATATGAAGGTGTAATTTATTTAATGCCAATTGTAATGCATTAGCAAAAAATGTGTTAGCCTTAGTTTTTTTTTATACTGAGTGATTTACAAACAATCTGTATTCACAAATATATTTTGTTATCTATACACAGTGTAGTGTGAAATGAGTGTTACAAATGAAATTAAATAATCTGTCGAGTTACATATGTTATAATATTGTTATATTTTTCATTTTCTCATAATGTGTAAGATAAACTGGTAAGAAGTTCATAAAAGCCATCAACAGCAATTGGGAACACTTAATCTAAAACTAGGCCACTTATGTCTCTGACTTCATGCTGCTCTTAAAAGGGACATAGGAAGGAAAGGGAAAGAAAGAGATAGAGAGAGAAAAGGAAGAAAGAAAGGAAAAAACATAGAAAGGAAAGCACGGTAGCCCATCACACTCACATGCACGGCGGCAGGCTTGGGCTTTGGAGGCGCTGTGCTGGGGCGCTCTCGGGAAGAGGTACTCACGTGTTTGATTGGGGAGGACCTGCGTGAGTTCTCTATCTCCTTCTCTGCCTTACTGATCGGCCGGCTGACGGAGACAGAAAGTGAAAGAGAAGAATTTAGTAAGACTTTCCTTTGATATGGCAATGAATCCACTTAACTATAACACGTATTTGAGGTCATTCTTAAATAGCTTTGGATCTCAATTACCTTTAACAGACTGCTGCCCATAAATATGACAGCATGTGGATTGGACTGACAGCATGAAGAAGAGGCAGTTTGTGTAATTTGTGAAAAGTGTCTGTTAACTTAAAGTGTCTTCAGTGTCATTACCTTATTAAACAGGCTGGAAGTTCAGAATGCATCATACAAAATGATGGACACTTCTGACATCAAAACACAATGAGATTTCTGTCACAAAAAGACTGTATATTTGGCCTCAGAGGATAACAAACATGCTATAAAGAATTACTCCTGAGATTCTCTGTTTTTCAATTCTCTTCCTACCACTGGTTCTAAAACACTCCATAAGTAATCTAAACTGAAAAATCTCCAAGAATCAAATGCCTACAATTTACACAAAACAGAAAGTAAGAGAGTAGTCAAAATGGCCAATCTTAACAAGGATCTGGCTATAGTAGACTGCAAAAAGATATTGAAAAATCTATAATCACCAAGCTCAAAGAAGAAGCGAAAAAGCAATGAACCAGAAAGGGGTACTTACCTGGGTGTAGCCGATGCTAGAGAGAGAGCCTGGAGGGAGGACCTACGAGATACCTGTTCCCATAATTCTGCTTGCTTACTGTATATCTCCGCTAACCTCTCTGAAGCAGTTTCCACTCCCCAACCACGGTGCTGTGGGCAGATGAGCAAAATTAGGATTCACTACTTCACCTTTTCAAAAATGTTTATTAATACTATCTGCCTTTCTTTGCCTCTAATTTTGTGATGTTTAGAAGTAAGTTTCTTTCTATATAAGATGAGCGATGAACTGGATTGAAAAAACTGAACTGTTGCATTTGGAAATCCTTTTTAAAAATATGTTTCTGTGTCAAGACATCTTTGGAATACATATGAAATCATGAAAATATGAAGATTTTTGTGAATGTTAATACATAATGTGTACCTTTAAGTAGGAATATGAATATATGAGTACACACATGTCCTTTAATTGCATACATTATCCCTTTAAATACTGACATGTATATTAACATTATATAAATCCAACTCTCTCATATATGGTAATAAAGATGTATGTCTATATCTTTAGTGCAAATTTCAGTAGTAAAAATGTATGAAAAAAAAGCATCGTGTGTGCTTCAATTAATCTGCATTTCAACATCAATAATAATATGATTACTGTATATTAGTATTTCCTGTTGTAAAATGATCAAGGGTACTATTTTATTCTCCTACTGATGTACAATGACCAGCACATCTGGGGTTTATTTATTATTATTATTATTTTTTTACATATTTGGATGTCTAAAATACATTAGAATGTGTTAATGTATGGTTAAAATTTCCTTTAATAATTCTACATGTATGAATATTTAAAATGTACTACAATATGATTCATGATGTTTTTGGCTTTGTTAATCATATCTGTAAGATACACATATGGAGTTACAGAATATATTATGAACATCATTTAACAGATAGTGTTATCATTAACATAGATCAAAATTATTAGGGCAATTTATACAAAGGATATGGCAGTAAATGTACACAAAACACAGAACTCACTAATCTCTCTGTCAAATAATATGGAGAACCTTCTTTAAGATTTAAGACTAAATAAATATATAGATTCTGATACATATCCAATAGATCAGCTACTAATAATCAAATTTCTAACCGAAGCCAGACATATGCAGAACGAAACTGAAAAGGAATAGCTATGAAAAAGAAGCTGACATGCAGTGAGTTAACTCTCATAGGGTCCTAAAGGTCTGCCATGCCAACAACTAAATATAACAACATCAGATATGCATTGTCAAACCTTGATGAGACAATAGAATCTATTGAAAAAATTGTACAAACTTATTGAGAATGAATGATGCTTACTTGAAAAGCCAACAGAACAAAATAACACAATAAAGTATAAGCAACTGGTATACATTCTAATGAAAAAAGATAGAAAAAAATGAGTGTCGTAACCAAAAAATGCCTTGTCCAGGGGGGATACGCAATGGATTCGCAAGCCCTTCCCTCTGATGCTCGGAGTGAGACTGTTTTAAAAGTTGATGCACAATTTCATCTGGCTATGAAGGGAACCTACTTGAGTACTGACAAGGAGTCATTTATACTTCTAACTTTCACATCAGCTTTGACAATGCAATCGTGCACTGGTGGTCCTTAAGACTGTTCTATCCAGTACTTGTGGCTGAATGATAGTCGCATATATTTTACGTTTCAAGGTTCCATTATAGACTAAATAGGAGTAAAAACTAGAACTGTAACAAGCAAACCAGAGCAAACCTCAAGAGAATCAGTCAATACATATACTTTTTAAAAACCCTCTCCAAAAAATGGAAATAAAAGGAAAGAAATAAAGGAAGAAAGTGAGAAAAAAAAAACATAAAAGAAGAATAATGGGTTTACTTGATGTTAATTGATATATAATGAATAAAATAAAAAAAGTATTATTCCTAATGTTACTTGAGGGATATCAAATGAATCATTGACTGCACGAGGAGGTTTGGTCCGTAAACATACATCAGTAAAAACACCAGTACCATTAGTTAATGAGAAAAAAACTATAAAAATAAAAATGCCAATATCAGAAAAACAAGAAATAAAACAAAATTACTAATTTCATTAACATAAGCAAATAAAACCCGAATCTTAAACTAAAAGGGGGGAGGAGACAAAAAAAAAAGAAAAAGAAAAAAAAAAAAAAAAAAAAAAAAAAGAAAAAAGAAAAGAAAAGAAAACGTTAAAACCAAGAAAGAGAGACAACTCTTAAATAGAAAAAGGGGACCAGCCACAAGCCTTCAGGATCTCATCCACACACCTGGACTGTCCGCCACACGTCACCGATATCGTGTCTCGCCTGGGGAGAGAGGAGGGAGCGGCAAGGTTATGCTAGTGCCTAAGGTTGAGGCCGAGGCGGAGTGTACTCATCCCACTTTCGACTAGTGGGATCTGGCATACCTAACAAACCCTTTGAAATAATGTTGTTCCTTTTTTCTCTCTCTCTGTGAATGACATGCTTTTTCCACAGGGATGGAGGACTGGTTTTCCCTTTATAGGTTTTTCGTGAATGAGAAGCCTGTGCTAGTATATATCTATCTGCCCCCTCAACTTTTACGGAAACTTAGTGATCATTGCAGATATGCCTTTGAAAACCTGTATGAGCTTCATTCATTCCTTTAGCATTGAAATGGATTCATAAAGAAAGATAAATCACAAAAACCTTCATCTATGAAAGCACTTGGAGGCAGCTCACTCACATAATTAACCTTTATCGTGATTTTTCAATTTTTTTTTTTTTTGACGGACACTTGAAAAATTTATGAGGCTAATTGAGTTTACTCTCTTGTGAATAACAACAACAACAAAATGACAATGTTAATTACCAGCAGTAAACTCTTGTATCTATCCTTATTCATCCTCACCTGAACTCCTCCCTTCTGAAGTTCTCTCTCATCTCTATAAAACAAGTGATCTTAACACCATTACACACACATACAAAAGAAAGAAATAACAATGATTAACAGCAATATGAAACAACACTCTTAGTAGACAAATCTTAAAGGTGAATAAGTGCATTTCAAAGTGTGTATAATTGTGTGCATGTTAATAATACCTGTGCTCATTCAACATACAGGTGTGTAAAGATATGTGAATAATTATACCTCAAAATCATTTCACACAAGCACACACTTGGTGCTATGGTACTTTACATTCATCATTCAAGAAACCACCAGCACACATGAGTAAAATCTGAGAAGAACCAAATCTGAATAAAGTGTGATTTCATGACAAATGGAAACAGCAGTCAAATATTTAATCTCTATGACCATCAACGATAAGAGAAGTGTGTATATGTATGTATCTACTCCTTAATAATTAATATAAAAAAAGTTTCTGGTCTTGCGCATCTTATCTTAAAAAGTTTTTAAGAACATTCATGAAAATTTAATAACAGGAAAAGGGAAAGAAGATAAGGAAAAGATTAACAAGTAAACTTTAAGGAATCAAGGCAATCAAGGAAGAACAACTGGCTTAATTATCACTACAGGATTAATCATGAACCATGAGAAGGGGATTTTCTGATGGGGAAAGAGAGTGGAATCAGTCACATGGCATTAATTATATAACAGAAGAATAGGGGGGGGGGGGGGGTAAAATTACAGTCTAATTCACCTGGCATTGCCTTACAGTATATCAAAAACAAAAGCAGATAATAAAAAAAATGAAAGAATATTACAGAATTAACTGCATATATTGTGTGTACTGAGGTCTAAGGTCCTTCATTACACTCTCAAGTAACACACAAGCACACACACAAACATACTTTTTTCAAATGTTTTAGAAATCATCTGGGTTTTATATGTTAATATCATTTAATAATGACAATTTACTAAAAATCTCATTCTTAAAATAACCATTCTGTGTACCAACCCAGCACTGAATAATATACCATGCAAAACTAGTCTCATCTCGTGATGTAACTAATCAATATATAAATAAGCAAATAATCCAAATAAAGCTTTATGATTATAATAACTGGTAACACTATTATAAGAAACAATCACACAAACTCTTGAAGAAATGAAGCCTATCCTACAATATGTATTTTCCATGAATATAATAAAATAATTTTGTACAATAACCATCCTTAATTTTCATTACGTTCCTCTAATGTGGTTTAGCTAACTTCCTGTAGAAATAGAACCGCAATAAAGGAACAGTAAAAATAAAAAATAAATATCCATATGCACTTTGTATGCAAACTCACGACAAATTAGAGAAAACAGTGTCTTCTTTTCAAATCTCACAAAATCACCCATTTATATCAGATAACTAAACAGGAAATATCTAACTTATGAATGGAGCTGACTATCATCTTGTGTTTTAATTTGAACATCCAAATACACTGCTGGCATTTACAACAATATGTGTATGGTATGTCTTACAAGGATGTCAAATAAATTCAAATGCTTAATTATTCAGTGATGCCAAGGAAGCTGAAACTAAAATTGATTTGGCAGTAATGCTTGGCTGTGCACACATATAAGCATATTCATGTAGCTTTCAACATGCTGTGTACAGTTCCTCCCAGTAAAGGCAGTCAAAGGCCTTGAAGTAAGTCACTGCTGCAGCACTAAAACTGTAGGGGTTTCCTTGTGACTCGGCTTAGAGCAACTTAACACTGCAGAAATCCACACAGCAGTAATAAACAAATGAAGAATCAGATATGCCTTCTCTGCATGAAAGAAAAGAAAAGCAAGCAAAGTGGCATGATCACTCTTCCATTCTCCTTGAAACAATTATATATTTCTAATAAAGATACTCTTTTCCTAATCCCTCAAAACAAAGAAAAAGTAAAACTAGATAACAAAGTACACAAAGTTTACTGAAACATTAATGTTGTTTTATCCTTCTCAAAAGTGCCTGTCACAAGAGAAATATCAAAGAGATATATCATCTTAACTTCTGGGACATTTTCTGGAGGAGAGGAATAAACCACAACATACCCGCAGCCTACTGCCAACTTTGGGAACTTCAGATGTCTGAGGAAATGGCTGAACGTGTGGGCTCTGTCTGCCCCTCAGTAATGAATCATTATTTGCTGGATTCCATGGTGGGGAATCCTAAGCCTCTGCCATGACAGGCTGTGCTGCCAACAGAGAAATACTATCAGAGTTGCATAGCCTTTGCACCAGACAAAAAAAGGGGCACCATTCTGGGACACTATCTATTACTGTTTGTCTCACTAATCTGACTGACAGATAAGGACAGCATGATTTAATTTTACAACAGAGCAGCATCTTTACCCAAGTTTTTTTTATTATTCCACTTGGCTGTAGGTCCAAACATCACAATAAGGACCACAGAAAAAAAAAACTAATAAAAGTAACTTTGACAAAAAGGCAAAGCACTTTCAGGATCACTCAGGGAGAGCAACAAAATCTGTCAATATAATGATGGAAACCACCAATATGCTACAAAACAAAACTGCTAAATGATCAAGTAATGCATAAAAACTGCAACCTCACAAGATTTAAATCAATGAGACCGCCTCATGTTAGGCCATGTGAAAAGGCACTAAGAGACTGGCAGTAATACTGCCTATATGGTCTATCTGCAATGCAACCCTTTTATTTACTGCAGGTGCAATAAATCTTAGAAATGATAGAGATAATCCTTCAGTAAACAGGAGATGATTATTTAAAAGCTCACATATGTTACAGCTTTTGCAGTTAAAAACTCAATAAAGATGCAACAACATCAAAGCAACATATCTCTGACCCTTCTAGCTTGGAGGCAAGCAAGGTACAAATGAAAATTTAAGAAAAACTCAATAAATATAAACCATGGGATCAGCAAAGTGAAAAAATTCTTCCAATCAAAGGAGCAACTAAATCCAATGGAGGGACTATTTTCTTATAACTCTTAACAATAAGATTGTTATCCTGGTACCTTGTCTAACAAACTTTGGGCTGAATCTATTAAACTCCTACGTTTATTCCCAAGTGACCAGACAACTTTACTGTAAGAAAGAAAAACTGACTGAGTTCATTTTTTGGAGGAGTATGCCAAGAGTCCATTACTCATCCTGACTTAAGGCTGCCACAACAAAGCATTGGCATTGTATCGCACACCCTCAAGAATATCTGTAAATATTTAAGAGTTTCGAGTTAAGGTCTTTCAGCTCTCACAGTTGTTCTTTCAATGCACTCTCATCCATTACCCCCCCTTTCCCCATCTCTGTTCAGCAAACACATGAAAACACTGTCTTCCAAATACTGGAGGATAGTTTTTTTTTTGTTTTTGTTTATTAGCAATTTTGAACCAGCAACTGGAAATAACAGAATATAGTAATTTCCAAGTTTCTTTCCAACTGTGTGCTGATAATTTCTTTCATATATTTTTAAGCCAGTAATGAACTGAAATAACAGCATTTCCTTTGATAACTCATCAACAAAGGGTTGTATATTCTTTGTCCTTTAACAAACAATTAACCATATAAATAGATTAGTCCTAAAATAAAGAAAAAAGAAGGAAGGAAGGTAGAAAAAAAATTAACAAGAAATCTCACTGAACTGAAGTGAATTTTTTTCTCCATTTTCTTTCTAATCTTGCAATTTTGAAAGAAAATACACCCTTACTCCCATCAAGAAAAAATAGCAACAGAATCCTAAACAAATAATCTTAAAATGTCAAAAACAGAACAATGATGAATAAAAAACATGCAATTTTTAAAGTCTTATTGAATATCAGACCTTAAAACAAAATTAACACAAACCAGTGTTATTTACCTATATTACCATTTTGTCATACCTTTACATAATATTTGATACACAACCTATCATAAGAACAATAATAACTTCTCCTTTTGGTTAAACATGACTAAGAATCTCTCAATAGGTTTTCAGGTTAATATACTATCACCTGTCAAACTGTATCTAATTTGTGCCCATATCCATAACAATTATGATCATAGCTTTCTATAAGAATAATAAATATATTCTTTATAATCAAAATAATAACAACAAACAAAATTATAACTCCAATGATAACAATGATAAAAATAATCATATCTTACTATAAAAAAAAAAAAAAATAATTGTAATAATAATAATAATGATAATAATAATAATAACAGAAATAACAATAACTATAAAAATAACAAGAATAACGCTAATAATGATGATGATCATCATCATCAAAATGAAAAATAATAATAATAATAATAATAATAATAATAATAATAATAATAATAACAAAAGTAACAATAACATTAACTACAATGATGATGATGATGATGATGATGATGATGATGGTGATGATGATGATGATTGATGATGATGATGATGATGATAATAATAACAATAACAATACCAATAATAATAATAATAATAATAATAACAATAAAATAATAATAATAACAATGATGATGATGATCATCATCAAAATGAAAAATAATAATAATAATAATAATAATAATAATAATAATAATAATAACAAAAGTAACAATAACATTAACTACAATGATGATGATGATGATGATGATGATGATGATGATGATGATGATGATGGTGATGATGATGATGATTGATGATGATGATGATAATAATAACAATAACAATAACAATAATAATAATAATAATAATAACAATAAAATAATAATAATAACAATAAAATAATAATAATAATGACAACAAAGAAAAAACAATATCAAAACTATCACTTTTGATATCACAGTAAGTGATAACTAAATGTTCATTAAAGAATCCCACGTAATATCCCCATATATATAAGACAGAGCAATTTTATCATTTACATAACTCCTTATCCTAAAAATCACCTTGTAATTCTAAAATGCAATATTGCCTGAATTCTGCTTTCGAAATTACACTGCCATACACATACTCCCACACATATAAGCTGCAAAATAATAATATAATCCCTCTTTGGGATTTTTTAATTAATGAAGAAAAAAAAAATAATGATAATAAAGTATAAGAATCATGATGTCAGGACTTTCTGATAATCAACGTACCCTATACTGGCCAGCTTGACGGCGCAGCTCGATGACTTCCTTGTACCAGTTGTTTGCCGAGTCGCCGCCTGCTGCGGTCGACGGCTCATCGCCCTTCACCTTATGGAACTTGCCATCCACATATTGGTACTGCGAGAATGGACGGAACTTCTTGCGGTATTCAGACTTATAGACTCTGCAAGGAGGACGTAGCTGAGAACTTCTTCATAAATGGATCATACATGACAATATAAAAGTAAAGGTATATTAATGACCATGATTGTTTGCATCCCCCCCCACACCCAAGAAGTTTTGAGTTAATGAGTCATAAAATTTCTTTCCATCCAATTTGAACTTGCTTGTGGTTAAACAACTTTTAATAACTCCATAAATAAAAACTATTATTTGTTAGTTTGGAAACTGATGTTTCTATTTTTCAAATGAAAAAAACTACTAGTATTTTCATGGACTACTGAATTTACCATTTTGTTTTACAAATCCAATAAAATACAATCATCAGCCTTAATTTCAAGAAAGCAATTCCTAATCTGAGTGATGCTAAAAACAACAGATATCTTTAATCACATATAAAAGAGGATAATAACAACCTCCAAATATACAGACATATGAAACAATAAAATATTATAAAACTGAATCTCATGTGCACCTCTCAAAAAATCCATTCGTAATTGGATATTCAAAATTCAAACAAACCATAAAAGACCATGGAACATTTCACCAGCATCCACATATACTCCCATATATTTTCCAATAACATATATATTAAATTCTACATAACATATAAATACCTTTCATCCTTCGGTTATCAGTTATAAATTTTTTTGCAATCATTTCTTGATACAAAAATAATGGATAAAATATTTGTTTCTTTTATTGTATTTACCACTACTTTCAGCATAAAATACATATGCATAACAAAATTTAAACAATTGACAGATTATTATTATTTTTTTTTTGCATGCATTTCCTGAAAGTGATCAACGCAAATATATAATTCTAGCTAAAGTTGAAGTTCTCAAAAATTCACATTTCAATAAAACTATGCTGTATCCATAACAACATGAATGGAAACTTATCAAGTTTAGTTCAGTTGAACGGAAGTGTTTGTAAAGTAATCATGATTTTCAGCGAAACGTACAACCTCACACACAGACAATTATACATGTAAATAAGCATATATATATATACACACACACACACACACACACACACACACACACACACACACACACACACACACACACACACACACACACACACATATATATATATATATATATATATATATATATATATAAGAATACACACTACAACACATACATACATACATACATACATACATACATATACACACACACTAAACTAAATTACATCTTACCTCTTGGAAAATTTATCATCAGATGAAGCCAACATATTTTCCCCGCCAATGATTCGATCAGCCTCCAATCCTGTAATGTGCAACGATAAACCTTTAAAACATCATCAGCCAAGCAAAAGTCTTTTTCTACCTTACCAACAGAGGAACAAGGAATACACTCAAGGAATTTAACTGTTAAATGTGTTGACATGTACAGGTCTTGGGGATTTTAATGAGGTAAAATGCCTTGCAAAATTTTGTTAAATCATGTCTGGATATCAACACAATAAAATGAGGGAGAATTTATTTATTCATATTTAAATTCACTTTATGTGAAAGAAAGATGTGACAGAAAATCTTTGTGTTCGAAACAAGAATTTAAATTTTAAATGTGTAAATTTCAATAACGCTAACATGGACTACTAAGTGAACATCGTGCATATAGGAAGAATTATCTTATTGTTATTGTCATGCCAATTGTTAAAAAAATCATAAAAAAATCAAGGTTAGTTCTTAAATGTGACTAGATGTTAATTTTCGTCACTCAGATTCAAAGATGTGTGTTAAGAGTTATTGTATCTACTATCTATCCCTACATCTCATTAGTATGAAAATAGATAAGTGATAGATAGGGGAGTTAGTTGTCATTCTCACACTAGACGAAAACATAATCTACAATGGATTTGACTATCAACATGCGGGAGTGTTCTGGTCTGAAAAACAGGGTGGAAGATCAGCCTTGGAGAGGTCATGTGCCTTTGCAAATATTCCTTGTTAATGTTGAAACTTCTTTTCCCCCTTTGAACATTGCACTGCATGTATACAGTCACCTTGAGATATAACAGACACTACACTGATGTATTTGACACATCAATTGCTAAATGATATTGTATGTTACACCTTGTGATTTGTCTGATTATTACTATCTCAATACATGACTTCTTAAGCTGATGTTTAAGGTATTGGCACCAGAACAGAGTGAGAAATCTTATATATACAGTATTAGTAGTAGATGACAGGACTCATTAGGAAAAGTCTCTCTAATCACCCTATTGTGTGTTGCCATGCACTACTATATGTACAGTTGTACATGTGCTTCACAGGCCACCACCAGAGCATTTCAGCTTCTTGATGTGTTAAGTGCATTGCATGTTTATCTTACTTGTTCTTGGTTGGGGATGACTGGTGGATGAAGCACCTCTCTAACCACTATCATAATAAACTCTGATTATATATATCTCAACACTCAGTCCAGGGCAGTCAGGAGATGAATGACCCTCCGTAACAACAGTGATTCATAGACTCGCTCTTATCCAGCCTTAGATAACTCATCCAACAGGTAAACCTCTGGATATATCTTAACATTAGATGTAAAAGTCTTACTTGAACTTGGAGAGGGATGATATAAAAAAAAGTTATTTGAATAGCCTTAACTTTTGGCAATAAGATTATCTAATGATTTTGTTTGTAATTTCATCCTTCAGGAATGTGAATCACAAGGGCTGGATATTGGACTCTATGTATTTAATCAAAATCTATTGTTCAAATTCTCTAAATTCACAATATCTGATTTACTTCTAAAACTCTATTTCTCCAATACAATTCTAAAATTCTATTCCTTCATCTCTGTTCTAGATTTCTATGTCTGTGTCTGATCTCTATTTTTTTATTTCCATGGCTCTATCTCTTCAACAGATTTTTTTAAAATGTTATTCAATTCATAACAGTGAATGTATGGCCACTACATTTTCATTATTACATTAAAGACTTTTAAAAGATTACATCTAAATATGCAATATTAGCTGTTCACTCCATAATAATTCATTTATGCTGCATATAATCACACATTCTG